GGCAGAGTCCACAAGCAGCGTCCACCAGCGACCAGCAGCGTCCAGGAGTGGAGAGTGGGCGATAGGAGGGTAGCAGACAGCTGGTAGAGTATGGGGAGATAGGAGGGTAGCAGGCTGCTGGTAGAGAGTATGGGGCGATAGGAGGGTGCCAGCTGTCTGCTACCCTGCTAACTCCTCACGCTCTTCACTCCTTGGACGCGGTCGCTGGTAAATACAACCGCAAAGTATGAACGCAGCCTTGCGCGGCAAGGTCAAACTGATTCTACGCCCAGGTGCTACAACATTTGAATAATCTGATTAGGAAAGACCAGCTAGTTTCCGCGCCCGCCCCAACGTAGCCCTCCTAGCCGCACTCCGCCGCTTCTGAGCTATGTGACGTGAAAGTAGTAGGTCAATTCAACGTCTAATTTTAGAGCATCACATTAATCTCCAATATGTGAAAATTTGATTTCAGGAATTCCTTTCCTTTACTGAGTCGGTTTTCGGATTGAACGAGGGAAAGCAGTCCGACCACAACGAAGAGAACAACCGGGAAACCGTGCAACAACGAGCGACTACCATTTTTAATGCAAGCTATATTAATTGACTGACACGAACTCTATCTTTTGAAGTCCTTAAACCACTTTTTCCAGGAGCTCGACAGCAACGGGGATGGCATTGTCACTTTAGAGGATATGGTGCGATTTTTTAAGGTTTGTTATATTGTAAGACTGCATCCAGCATGTCGTGCACTTCGGGCTTTGGAAACGTACACCTGCCTGAGGCACTTGTGATTGGCAGATTGTTACTTTCACCAATAAGAGGTTTCCTAGGCATTCCCATGCATAACTGAAGAAGCGCAACAGAAAGTGAGGTAAATGGGAATGTGGGTCGCTTCACAGAGCACTCCTACCGTTGGAGAAAGTTTTACGAAACACTACCCCTCAACCATCCTTCTCTGGTACGACCCTTTCCTCATGCCCTTCCCTACCTACCGCCTTCCTCAACCCTACCACTTACTTTTTTCCAGAGACATTTCCTGTTTTTCCCTGAAGAACTACTGTGGACGGGGAAGTGGATGGGAGGGTTATAAGGCGCCAAAGGAACGACAACAGCCAAAACAAGTAAATAAGCGAAGACATTCTTCTCAAGAGCAAATACGACCCCCGTCGATGGGGACGTACAAGTGCCCTGATGGTCCACCTACTGTGCCATAGGTGGTACTTCAGGTGCCACTTAGTGGTTATCTGCAGGTGTCAGATGACGCGCCTTTAAACGGGATAGCTCGCTCCATACATTTAATTATCCCATGACGCAGCTAGGGGGCAGAGTTTCAGCCACAGTTCATTAACCCGTAAGATTTACGAGGTTAGCGTGTCGCGCACCCGCTAAAGACGAGGAAACATGCATTATTTATTGAAAATGACGTTCCAGTACATAGTAGCATCATGCCCGTGACGTCAGTGACACGTCATCAGTCTTTTGGACCTAGTTGAACCGCGTGTCTCGAGCCATACCAGGTCCAGTTTAAGAAATCCTCTAGTTCAGTAATCCGGACGAGTTGCCCTACTTAGAAAAAGATCGCATAACGTATAATGGGGCATTTATGGCAACATAATTGCATCAAACGATACACGGTCCTAACTAGGTGGGCAGCCAGAGGCGGGCCGGTCCGAGAAGCGCGTTATAGAAGCCCTAAAAAGTGTCACGATAAGTTTGCGGGAACAACCGCCTTGTCACATTTTCAATATGGACGATTTCCGCTTGTATCTTTTGCGTCCATGCCTTCCAAACGATGAAGAAACCAAATGTTAACTGTTTCAGTCGTTCGAAAACTCATCGCAGCTACGAAGTATGACGACCAGCAGCAATCACTCCAGTCGGTTACCAGTATGATTTCACAGATCCAACACATCCATATCATCTATTTAATAAATATCTATGTACATTTTCGTGCAACAATTATTAAAATGAGAAATTGACTTGACGATAATGACAAGAAAACCTGACGTTCACGAAAGCATCGATGTTCAGTGAGATGATGGCACACTAACCATTACAAAGATCCCATCAAATCTATCATGATATGGCACAAAGTAGGCTGCACCCAAAAAAGACCCTAGTTTTGAGCACAGCTCTGAGATATTGTGAGTTGAACAGGATTAAAAATTGGTTAGGGGACAACGGTAAACATGGACCTATCACTGTTTGAGGTCGCACCGCTATGACAACGGCCGTTTAGTGTGGGTTAGGAGATCCGAATTGGAGAGTGTAAGCGGATGGTTTTGGCGCGGCCGTTCTCCACCAAATGTTAAAGTGGGTAAGTGACAACTGCTGGAGGGAGAGCTGATGGCGCGCCAAATTCAGCCTCACTGACACGCCCCTTCATCCGCAGCGAACAAGACTGAACGATGAAGACCTGCACCTGCAGCAGAGGCTGCAATGAGATGAAGGAACTTGTCGCCGATACACGAACCGCCTCTCTGACCTGTAGGACTATCATAACTTCGAAGCACTACCTTGTTCCTCGAACATACATCCCATAATCAAATGGGCGGAGACTCGCGATCGCTTGTGCTCCCTTACTGGCCTGCTACTCTGTTTGCCATTTCAGATCAAGGACCGTAAGGAGGCGGCACAATGGTTACGAGTCTCCGCCCACTTGAATACCGTGGAATGACCTTCAACAAAGCGCCGCGCCTCGCTACTACACGTTCTAATCAGAGGTTCGACATAAAGTGACTTACAATAATGTAGAACTAGATTCTTAAATAGATCAGCAAGAAATTAACAAGGAAATTCAACCTATAACATGAGTAGGTAACAAAAGATCTCATCCTTCAAGAGTTATCGACATCGTGGAGCTGAATTGAAGATGGAAACTATATTGACTAGAGGAAACATCACACTGAAAGAGATAATTTCTGGAGGCTGCCGTTTCCTTCTATAAGAATTTGGGGCGTAAGGTCCACGTTACGGCTACGTGCAAGCACTTTCTGAATCTTCCTAGCTAGTCAACTCACTAAAATGCAGCATTGCCACGTTGAATGAATAGGGTCCTGGCGCGAATGCCACATCTGCAACATCTCTTTCGCCGGCTTCGCCGCAAGACGGATGTAACGCCCATGTCACTGCCAACTCTCGCTTTCTTCCTAGCAGGGCACATCGTACGTTGAGGTCCCAGCGAGAGAGGATTTGAGAGCCGAATGTGATGGGGAGGGGGAGGGGCGCTTGTGGGGGAGATTGAAGGGAAGGAGAGTATTTTGCGCTGAGAAAAAATTTTTTGGTTGACATTTATTTGTTTTTCCTGATTCAAGTGCGCTATACATCTTCCCCCTCGACGGCAGAATTTGCGGGAGAATTGGTGAAATTTCTCGAAAAACTGCTGAATAGTGATAAAGAGCTGGGAATATCCAGGACAAATAGGGAGTAGTAAGGGAGCCGTACTAGAGGAGGAAACTTTGAGGGTACTCGTATTTGTGCAAAAATGTTCCCCAACTGCAGAACGTGCCCTTCTTCCTAGCAGTGCATGAGAAAAATTGCGGTATGAATCCCGCCGGACCACAACGCCCACTCCACCAACAACTTCTGCGCACGCTGCTTTGAAATCCTGGGAAGATCTCTAGTGCAAAAAAAAGGCTCACCTGAATGAAAACTCCACACCAGAACAACCTGCTCTCACTCTGTTCACCTTCACGCAGTAGTGACGCGAACACTACACGGAGGTACGAATGTAGTCCAGCGGCTGTCATAGCACTCACAATCTGCAATTGACTGCCAGATGACCAATAAGGAACTGTCTAGGAGGATGAACACATTGCTTTGCCCTATGGTCGACCTGAACCACTTCTCAGGTCGAGCGCATTGGAATGAACTACGGTTTAGCAACGAGCACGATTGCTGGGGGGGCGGTCGTTGGCTAACGTCATTGGTGGAGAGGCTGCGAAGAGGCGTTTGAAAGCATTTCACGCAGCCCTTCACAATGAAGAATAACCACAATCGCTAGCCTCAGCGTTCGTACCCTTTGCCTATAAAGGCACAACCAACGCTCATCGTGAGGGCGGAGACAGAGAACCACTGCACCTCCCCATTAGCGCGCCTTCCTTTCAAATTTTGAACTGTGAAGAGGAGAGATGCGCGTCGGCAAGAAGGCGCGATGGTTGACTGTCCCCGCCCACACAATCGGCTTGGAATGCGTTCGACAGAAAATAAGACCAGTAATTGGATGTTACTCTCCATTTTTCAATGCGCTCTCTTTCGGTATGTCAATATTGGCAAAATTACGGTATCAGATAAGGTCCATAAGTCAACGTACCGACAAGAAACTGCCAGCGGTGACTGAATCGAAGATCAGATTGGGACTCAGTGAGGCAAGATATATTATGAAAAGCAGTCATACATGAGAACAGAATGTCAACCCGACAAGGACCCGGTATGGACCTAAAAATGTCCTTTAACACTCACAAAAAAAACCAAGAAACGTCAGTCAGTCCCGTCCCTTACCAGTTGAAGCGACAAAACTGTATCACATCGCTCGTAGTACTTTCCACCAATTTTTGTCATTTACCCGCTTCAACACTCCAAGAGAACAAGCTAGCGGCGCGCCCAACTGTTCTTGCTGACAAGCCCCATCCTCCACAGCGAACCTTGAAGGAAGAAGTTCAAAGGACTTCTTGTGCAAAACTATATAGAATTACCGAATTAAAGATGAGATTTTTTGCCGAACCCCTCAGATTTTTCAAAGCGGGTAAACTCGAAGGATGGTGACGGTAATCCCAGAAGTCCTTCGAATCAGGGCACATCGTTGTTGGGGAATCCCCAATAGGGGGTCGTATTTGGCCGCCAGGAGAGGGGGTCGTATTTGGGCTGGGAAAATTTATTTTGATAGTTGATTTTTCTCGCTTCACGGACGTTGTAAAGGGGGTCGTACTTGGTCATTGTTGGGAGGGGGGGGGGTCGTATTTACGTTTTGGCGTTGTAGGAGCGGTGGTTGACTTTTGTGATTTTCCTGTTTCATGCGTACTATATGCCCCCCCCCCGCTCGACGGCTCGATTCGATGAGGAGGAACAGAAGGGGGGGGGGGTCGTACAGACTCGACTAAAATCCCCAACCAATGATGTGCCCTGCTTCGAATGCCCTGTCTTGGATATTAGCGCAAGCAGATTTCGGAAAGAGGTATGCAGTGCGATCAGTACCTAATGCCAGAATTCGTACCTATGGACAACCTGAGCTCAATCCCTTTTATCGTGTCAATTTTCTGTTTTTCTCTGCGGTCTCTCCTCTGCATAGCGTTCTGTAGCCACTGACCTCACACATGCCAGCTTCCCTTGCATCGTAAGAGTGGCTCATCCCTTACGCGGTCCTGTTTTCTTTGAGAAGCCCCCATTCACAACATGTTCCTCGAGCCTGAACCTTCTGGTTTCGCGACCAAAGGAGAGAACGCAAACAGAGAGGATAGTGGGTTTTAGAGCACTAAAAGCGTGAAAGAATATGTGGCGAACGATGCACGCCTGACCATGGGGAGAAACTTCGCCAAACGACACTCTCTCAAACTTCCTACTCTTTTACAACCACCCTTCCCTATCCTCCCTACGATCTTCCTGAATTTCCCCAATTTCCCACCCCCTTTCCTAAAATCCCCCTCTTTTCTAAAATTGGTTTCCCTAGAAAGCTGCTGTGACTGGGATAGCACACTTCTAACGGAAACACCGAGAACAGTTCACAGCCGGAAACATGTGTCTCGTACACGAACCGAAACCCCTTCGGGCCGCCCAAAATTTAGACATTGGATCGGTCCGCCCGTTGCTACTGCTTATGGTTAAACACATGATGAAAGTTAGGGAGATCGGAAACAAAAAAAAGCCGAGGGTTGTCAGTTTTCTTCGCCAAAAAACGTGGCATTTCCGTTTTTCTCTGCAATGGTTCATCTATCTCGTAGTCCCATCTTCCTTAAAAACTCACTCACTGATCGCGTCTTACTTTCTGCACCTTTTGCCTTGCAGCCGCAGTTCCCTACTTCTCTGCGCTCTCCTATCGCGCCAGGACCACAGATCTGGTAGTCATGTAACCCCTCCCACTATGCATTCATGATCTTTTCTTTAGATTCCCCCAACATTATAGAATGGAAAATTTGTGCCGAAACTTCAGTCCTTTCTTTGTCGCAACGGTTCAGCTGATACCACTGTCTATGACCTGCGCGTATACTGTGCGAAAAAGCATATTGAACATAAAATTTACTAACCTCACTTTGATAAAGAACGGTAAAAATGACATACAGGGAGAAACTATATTAGCCAAAGCAATTCCATAGTGATACGTCGCCTAAATTAATGAACTTAAAGAGAAGAAAAAGTGAACTAATATAATGTTAACGTTCAACAAATGTTGATGTTCCCTATAATGTTCAACAACAATTCTACATATAGAGAAAATACTCATAATATGATGATAGGAAGCTCCAAGAGGCCCGAAAGTTTTGTTAGATTTTCTTTTCTGCAGCTCACACTTTACTCAGGGGCATGTCGCTGATACCACTACGAAGCCGCTTAAAAGAACACTGGGCAGACGGGCAGAGAATCGTGATTTGCCGCTCCGTCGCGCGTGGCGATGGGCGCGGCGTTTTCTTAACTCGTGTAAACGTGCCGATTGGAGCACCGGGCTTCATGTAGAGGAACTCAGTCAATCATAGGACACTTCATACTATTTCGGTTCCGAATTGGCTGTTGTCGTCATCTACCACCTGCAACCATCGTCATTTGCGGGCGACGCCCACCAGAGCGGCGAATTACGATTCTCTTGTCACATACCCAAAAGGACTGGTTCAAGCGGACCGAGGGAAAAAGGAGGTTGTCAAGTACGTAGTCTGCGCGTGGCGACAGCTCCTCTGTTCTAACAACTCTATTATACAGTCTTGTTCGCTCCGGATGAAGGGGCGTGTTGGCGGGTTTGGCGCGCCTCAGCCTATTCTCGTTTTCAAAGCCGGTGAGCGACCACAGTTTGTAGAAGACGACCGATACGAACGATACGATTCCTTGCTTGCCTCAACAACTGATGGGAAACGGATTTGGCCCCGCGCCATATCCATCCCGCCTGACATGCCTCTTCATGCGCAGCGAGCAAGACTGTCAAAATTTAGTACTTCTGAAGGGTAGACCAAGTACCTGAGAGTAAGGTAGAGCAGCATAGCTTTGTACACTTGGAATTACACCATTCATTTGAGCATTAACAAGTGCAGTGGCCATAAGGATTAGCATATAGCTACTGCCGCTGATGCTCGTCGATTCAGCTGATGACGGCTTTTTCACGATCACCTAAATTTTCAGATGAGTGTCGCCCATACTAGTTGGTTTATCCAAACAGGGCAGTTCACCTCATCGCCATCCTCATCTGTTGCGGTTGCTGTTAGTTGAATGCTTTCTGCAGATTTTGAGCTGGTTCCATTTAGTGGTGTCGCTTCATGCGCGCTACTTCCCGTGGATTTCGGTGGAGTGCTTAACTATCAGTAACTTTAACTAGACTGCACAAGGGATAAGTATAACCTTCTTACTTCTTATGTCCTCCTTTTCTGGATAAGATCTCAAAAGCAACCGTTGCTGTTAGAGTCCAACAGAAAATAAGAAAGAAAAAGGAAGAGGCGCTAAACCGTGGGGGTGAATAAAGCGGCACAGAGCCTTCGCATTCGTAATGTCCAGCACCTAAATGGATACTAATGAGTTGTTAATTCCAAAATAATTATGCGCGTTGAGACTTCGCGATGACGCGCTGTACAGCGCGTCGACGCGCTACACTTGCAACTGCGCTCCAAAGCTATAGACGCGAATGCAGGCGCAGACGGGAATCTATCGGCGCCGTCCGCTTGTTATTCTAAGAGACTAAGGGATACCAGGAGGTTAGGCGCTGCCTCAAAAGCACCAGCGGCCGGTGCCGATCGATACCGGTCACCTGATTAGGCAACATGCACCCTCTCATTCTCCTGTACTCTCAAAACACAAGCGGCCGGCGCCTTCGAACTCCCGTCTATGGATGAGTCCGCGTCTGTAGCGTTGAAGCGCTGTTGCAGTTGTAGCGCGTCGACGCGCGTCATCGCGAAGTCTGAACGCTGCCTTTGGCAAGAGAACCTGGGATAGAAAAGGAATACTATAAAATTATAAAATTACAGGACCAACCTTGTCGCAAAAAGCATCAGACAGACTAGGAACAAGGGAATGAAAGCGCATGAGCTACCATAAGTACTAACGCCACTTTTTATGGTAATGATCGGGTGAAACTGTGGATGAATGGGCATGAAAGCTAGTACGCTTGGACGTGCATGGATTGGTCAAGCTAGTCCAGAATAGCAGCAGTAGAGGGCGAAGCGTATCTTCACGCCCAGAAACTGGTAGGTCGCACCACCACGCAACACGGCCAGAACCTGTGAAACGATGGCCGAGTAATCGTATAGATTCTCGGGTATCTAGAGATTGACGCGTTCACTACTTACACGATCCGTATTCGTTTTTTATTGCGGAGCGATGCTCGAAGCGATTGATAGCGAGGTATGAATCGTGCGATTCCAGGACACAGCGCTAACGTAGCTGAGTGGGGAAGGCACCAGGCCGCACCTCTGTGTTCTTTTCCCTGACCAAGGCTCCAGCTCATGACACAGAGGACCAGACTTGTCGCGAGATGGTCTCGCAGCGGAGTCATACTCTCCACTAGCCCCAGCCCTAGTTTAGGGGCCAGACACAGGGGCGCTGCCCTGTTTCCCCCTCCCCTCCCCAACTACGTTAGCGCCCGGATACAGTAGAAGAACTTACCGAGCTGACAAAAAGAAGCAAGGGTGAGAAATGCTGTGATGAGCGGTACCGTGGGTAAGGTTATTGAACGACAACCCTTATGCAGTAGTGTGTAGATTAGAGGGCCAATACACGCAATCTGAAAAAAAATATTGAGCAGGATGCGCGCTGTGTACCTGCGGAGGGCCAGTCTACAATTCTGGGTCAGCGCTGTCGGGCCACTAAACATTGACGGAGAGTTGCAGAATGGTCCCTCCCGAGGCACAGAACGTCGAAAAGACACCAATATTCACGGTTACTTCTAAAAGCCAAACAAAACAAGTCTGACCTGAACCACAGCGGCAAGAAAACTTGGTAATCCCCATCCTTCTGGCAGGTTCGCTGTGAGGAGTGGAAGTTGCATCCAAATAGAATTCGTACCCATCCATGAGCTTGAGCCAAATATAATCACCAGAACAAACATCAACTTTGATATGGCCATCTGAAATGGCTAAGAATTAACACACTCTGAGGCTGTCATAAGTATGCTAAGCCACGGCGAAAATTTGACCCAAGGCGGGACTCGAACCTGCGCGGGGTCAAGATCTTTGGCCATAACTCAGTACTAGTACTCTCGAAACGCGAACTGCCGCGTTAAAAGGCAGTTAAAGGACCTTACTGAAAAAGGATCTTACTAATACAACTTTGAAGTTCTTCTAACATACATATAACCAGTACTTCATTCATAGAACCAGTACTTCACTTATCAATTGTGAAAAAAGCAATCTTAGTTGGAGGAAAGTCACGAGACGAGACTAGGCTACGGCGACTCCGATCATCTCTTCTGGACCTAAGCTAAAGAAAGGATCAGTGCCTCGATGAAAAGAAGAGTGTAGACGACGAAGGTCACCATAGTCGCCTTATTTTCGGAGCGTGGCCCCTTTCAACTGGTCAGTTAGCAAATTTGGGTTATAAACTAGGTTTCATTCAATTATTTCTAATCTTTTGACGCCTTCCAAGATCGGACGTTCTCTTTAGAGAAATTGCAAACCTTCCCCAGTGGAGGGAGGGTTTGCTTGGATGCTTTTGGATGTTTTTGGACGACATTAACTGAAGCCTTCCTAGAGGAGGCCAATGAGGTCGTCACAGGAAAATAACCTCTGAAGGGCTGACTAAGCACGGTTTTGTTGCTGGAGTGGTCCACGGACCACTGGAACTCATTCCCTCTGAATGCGCTGACAGGGTACAGCATCGTTGCGTGAAACACATGGGGGGGGGGTCGTATTTGGTCGTTGTTGGGAGAGGGGGATCGTATGTGGCTTTGAGAGAAATTTGCCGCGTTGGGAAAAAATTTCCCGGTTGTGACTTTTCGCGTGATTTATTCCTGTTTCCCTGTTTCATGTGTATTATATAACCCCTCCGTCGTGCTCGACGGCAAAATTTTCGGGTAAAAGTAGGGAAATTTTCAAAGGGAAAATTCCGGAAAAAGTGGTAGGAAGTCGGGGAAAAGCCAAGAAATTTTGCGTTACACATTGGCTATATCCCTACCTCTCCCACTCGGCGGATAATCTCTGGGTGGAAAACTGGAAAATGAGGGAATTGGTAGGTAGGTGTTGGGGAAAGAGGGGGCGTACCGAGATGGGGTCGTACCGGCACCATCATTTCACACATCACGATGCTCACCCTGTGCGCCGATCATCTATTCCTCAGCTTTTTCTCGTACGTATGTTATTCTATGGTTATTGTGTCCTCATTCATTTTTTCATCTTCATTCACATTCCAGCTTTTCACAAGTGATAAGTGGCCCACCAAAAACCCATACACTGGCTTGCCCCATTTTTCTGGCACTTTTATTGCGACATTGAAATTCAATGCCTTGGCAGCCGTTGTCCTTTGTCCGCTTTCTTCATCTGTCTGTGTTACGAGGTTTCACAACAACCTTTTGCACAAAAGTTCAACATGTCACGTAAGCGAGGTTACGTGACATCTTGGTGATCCCGTTGCGAAATTACACATACAGGTACACTACAGTGGCTGAGCATCATTTGTGAAAAGCTGGAGTGTGTGAGGTCACAATAATCCTAGCATGCTATACAGACGAGAGAGTGCAGAGAAGAACAGAAACACGACACATTAAGCGGAATTGAGTCCAAGCTGTAAGCAAACCGCAGTGATTCTCTACGCTCAGAAATTCCCTGAGGATCTAGGAATGAAAATCGAAATCCTTTTTTGGAAACTCC